CTACTACACTCCAGGCTGGGTGACAGAGCAAGACTCTGTCTCAAAAAAAAAAAAAAAAAAAAAAAAAGGAATGTATTGAACACCTTCGAGGGCCAAGGGCTGACAGAATTGCCGGGAATATGTACAGTCTTGGAAAGCGGAAAATGGTCAGCAGCCATGGGATCTCAGAGGGCCAGGCTGCAGAACTCACACCACAGGTTCTCACTGCAGGAACCAAGTGATACACAGATGGGTGCTGGCTGCCAAGCTCCCAGTGGAGCCCACACCTTCACATGCTCAAAGCTTAATGTTCTGGGACAGAGTGCCTGATGGACCAGATCAACAGAGGAATGACTGGCTCCAAGGAAATGAACTCCTTTGGGGTCCACAGGTAATGTTCACTTGCCACTGTCATAATGTACTGAGAGGAAGGAGCGGGTGATGCCTGATCACCAAAAGTAGCAGCTGACCCCTAGACTGACCTTTCAGTGAGAGTTGCAGTGACAATGAGAAATAATTTATCCAAAGTGTCTGCCAAAGTGCCTTTGTACAATTATTGTACCCAAATAATTAATTTCATGAACTGGGAAGATATACAGAAACATTGAAGGAGAGAGAAAAATAGGTGCTCTAACTTAAGCATACAATGCAATATGAGTTATCTTCCTGGGAGGACTCCAAAGAGTCAGCATAGAACTGTGTTTTGAAAGCTCCCTCTTTTCCAGACCAAGCTGCCAGTCATGAACACGTGGCTTCTGCAGACAAAGCCAGCCCTGTGGCCTGCTGTTGGAGGCAACTCTTTTATTGCCAAAGGACATTTACGTGGAAAACAGCACATCTACCAGAATAAATGTGTCCCCAGGGAAGGAAGTAGAATTCTGGGCTGTGCTGCCCCAGCAATACCATGAACCACAAATCTGACTTCGTGGCCCCCTCAGGGGCTGGTCTATGGTGGAAAGAGAAATATAAGGTCACAGCAGAAGGTTTGCAACTGAAAGTTAATCTTATTAAAAGACCTAAGACTATGTTCTCTTCTGGATATACAGTAGAAATGATGCTTTGGTTAATATTTTTAACATGAACGAAATGGAACGGAATGGAATAGAATGAGATAAAATGTCATTCTTCTTCCTAGAAATCTCCAAATATCCCATTTATGGTTACCCTCTGGCATGTCCAATACCAGCTTGCAGTTTTAGGCCCAGCCAGCTTAAGAATTACCTGAGGAGTCTGTTAACGGTACAGACACCTGGGATCCCCAGGGTGGCCTGGAGATCTGAGCCGGGGGACTCAGTGAACCCCAAGGATTTGTGTTTTCCCTGAGCTCACCAGCCATGGAGCCTCTGCCCTGGTGGCTAAGCCTGGGTTTGCCTTTCCCTTGCCATGGAGAAGGTTTGGTAGGACAAGCTCTGTGAAAATAGGCCCTGTTACACCAAATAAAATTTCACAGGGAATGTTAAGAAACACTGAATTATGAAACATAGAATATAGTAAACATTTAAGGAAATTGACTCATATGGGGATCTCTTCCCCTTAGCATAATTGTTACACTGGCTAGAATTCATTCTTAGCAGTTTAACAGGTCTCTTAAGTGCCCCAATTAAACAAAAGGTTTGTTATATTGGCTCAAATTACTGTGACTATTTAGTAGCAATTCTGGCTACTGTGTCCTGAGGGCCCATGGGGTACCTGCTCTGTGCTGAGTTTTTCATTTAACTTTCAATAAACCTCATCAGGATGGGACAGCATGATTCCATTTCACAGCTGAGAAAACCGAGGTTCAGCAAGATCTTGCCCAAGTCAAGGTCAGCATTCAAACCAAGGTCTATGTGATCCCAGACTATATTAATCTCTGTGCTGTGTATAATAGGATCAGCATGGGACTTCTTTAATCATGCATTGTTCTGTTCTACTGATGCTCACACTGACCATCCCTGGTATGAGCCAGATTTATTGAGGTGTCTCTGGGGCTTCTCTCAGGTGGGTAAAGGAGCCAATTCCATGGCCTGCCATCCATCATTTCATGGAAAACAGGTTAAGAGGACACTAAGGCAGCTGTGACATGAGGAGATGTCACAAAATGACAACACATACCCTCATGGCCAACTGGCAGGAGCCAAAATGAAAACTGTGTAGAGAACAGTGGAGTGAGATGTAGCAAAATTATAGCAGTTCATATCCTTGAGCTGGCAAACTGACATCTGGCAATTTATCCTAGAGAAGTAATCATGGCTGTGCGTCAGCTAAAACAATGCTCATTTCTGGGTTATAATAATGAAATTTGGAACCAATCTAAACCATAGGGAATTACTGAAATAAATTCTAGTACCTGCAGGCAATAGAGCACCCTGCAGCCATTTCAAAGCTGCTGTGGGATGACATTCAGCCACATGGAAAGCTGTTCATAATATGTTGCATATATGAAAACGGATTTTAAAAACCACAAAAAGGTATTAAATTAAACAAGCAGGAAGCCTCCGTACTTTGAGTTTCTCCGTAACAAAGTACACCCTAACTTAGTACATAAACAAACTGAAACTTAGGAGAATACTTTTTGTAACAAATACCTGGTTTCAGCCAATCACAAACAGCTGAGATTCAGCCAATCATGGACAGTCAATTCATCGCACCAGGCCCAAATAAGGCCGATGCCTAGCTGTAGCCAATCAGGTGATTTCTCTGCTTTGTTTCCATGTTCAGCCTATAAAAGCTCAGTGCTCATGCTGCTGGGCTCCCGGAACCTCTTCTGGTTCTGAGTGCTGTGGATTCATGAATCATTCTTTGCTCAAATACACTCTGTTAAATTTAATTTGGAAATTTGAAGTTTTCCTCTAACAGAGGTTATAAAGAATTCTATGAAGATGGTACTCTCATTTTGACAGTGAGAAAGATTTTTTTACTTGAAGAAAGGAAATACCAACATTTTAAGTGTCTAATTTTCATTATTCTTTTTCTTGCCTGTATTTTATTTATGTTTCCATAATGACTCTGTTTTACTTTTACAAGTAGAAAAAAATCCATAACTTTGTTCAAAGAAAGAAATGATGGTCACAGACAACTTGAAGGGATTTGGATGGTGCATCTATATGAAACCATCTTCCCCCCACCCACCTCTTCTGGTTGTCTCACAGACCTCAGCCTTCTGCTGCAGTTCGGAGCCCCAGGCAGTGCCAGTGTGATTCATTACATCCTAAACAGGGCTGTCTTAGAGTCTTCCTGGAAATGCAGAAATCCCCAGGCCATACATGCCCCAAAGTGATGATGTCACAGGGAGTCTGGTTTCCCTGCTTGCCACTGAGCAATCCTAGGGTGCTCTCAACACATGCGCTTCTGATTCTCCAACCCTTGCTGCACCAACAGATCCCCAAGAGGAAGCTGAAGAGTCACCCAATCTGGAAGGATTCCCATACCCTTGATAGTCAGAAAAGGAAATGAACATGTCTTCTGCTTTCCCAGGGTCCCTGGTAGTGGTAGGAGGGCTGCAGCGGCCTCATTCATTCATTTGTGCCAGGCACCCTGTTAATCATGGAGATACCATGTTGACCTGCCTTTGAGGAGATCATATTCTAGTGGGAGAGCTGAGCAGCGGGATGGCCACGTGTAGATGGTGCTGTATGAAGGGTAAGTGCAGCACACCGTGGAAGCACTTAGGAGGGACCCTTCACCCATATTTGGAGGTTCTGAGAAGTTTTCCAAGGAACATAATGCTCAGCATTGGTAGAGAAGAGAATTAGGGAGGGGTCGTTGGCACAATCTCATAGAAGGTACAGGATAATGCTGGAAGATGCCTTTTCACAGTCTACCATTCGTGGCTCATGAATAAGGGTGATTCTGCCATCACTTACCAGCTCAATAGGGTCTGAGGGCCCTGAGTCTGATTGTAGGGCCCCAGAACCCTGGTCAGGTGACCAGATAGAATCTGAGAAGAGCCAGGAGGAATCCAGGAGCCCAGGGGAGGGAGGGTAAGCAAACTCAAAGCCAGACATCAGGTCTGACCAAGTCTCCAATCTGAAGGTGACTGGGCAGACATGGAGAATCTGGGTAGGAGACTGTGGGTAGGGGTGGAGAAGGTGTAGGGGGAGGGAGAACCAGCTGCAGAGGGACAGCGGAGGGCGAGAGAGAGGTGTGGCTTGGCAAAGTCCCCAGGAGAAGCCAGAGGTCGTTGCTGCTACAGATATCTCTCTCTGCTGGAATTGTTCTTTCATCCTCCTCAGGCTTTGGTGTCAGCAGGAGTAAGCCACAGGCAGGCATAGAGGGAAAGAAGGGACAAGGATTGAAGAGTGGCTTGACATTAAGCATAAGAGAGGAGATGGTATACATGACTTAATAAAGGAGAGCTGGAGATGAATGAAGATGCCCCTAAGTGGCATATGCGGATTTCTGCATTTTCAGAAAGACTCTGAGCCACTCAGAGATTCAAGATATCTGCACCACTCAGGGATTTTCTCCAGGGTCCGCCTCGCACCTCCCCACCTCCTGACACTCTGCCTCAATCCAAGGCTCTTTCCTAACCTGGATCCCACCTCCCTCCCAGGGGAGCGTTTCCTTATGGCTGTATTTGGCACCCATCAGCATGCAGCAACCTATTGCCACTCAGTTCCCAACCAGTCAATGGAGAAGCCCCTACACTGGGCCCACTCTGGGCTTGTTTCAATGGGGCCACAGCAGTTGTCCCATCCATCACTTGATTTGTGCATTTGTTTCCTGTTCATTGCTTTTTCTCCTACTGCTTGAGTAGAGTTAGTTCTTTGTGGGAAGGACCCTGTCTGCTTCATTCATCACCATAATCCAATGCTTAGAACAGTTGCTGGTATAGAGTATGCCTCAATTTAAAAATTACTGAATGAATGAATGACTGATTGTGTATGGGGGAAAAGAAAACAAGCTTCGGAATCAGCTGCAGACAATCTTAGGATTGAGCCCAGCTCCACCCTTGGGGTAACCTGTAAGCCCAGCATCCTGATTTGTCAAATGGGATATGCAGGACTGTGGGGTTTGCAAAGTGTCTCATATGAAATAAGTATTCTAAAAGGTAGTTGTTTTATTTTATAATGATTATAAAGAATGAGGGGAATTGTGCTGTCATGCCAGAGGCAGGATGGAGTGAGAGCCCACCCTGCTGACTGGGCAGCAGGAGGCTGGAGAAGCACACCACCTTTATTGGTCAGAAAGGGGAGGACAGAAGGAGCAGGATGAAATGGCTGGCTCTAAGGACTACCAACCTATCACACAGAGGAAAAGGAAGCCTGAGCTCCCAGGCTGCTCTACTCTAGAGGGCAGATTTAGTGAGGTTTCTCAGAGCATTCCCTGGGCAAGTACCAGAGCAAACAGCATGGCCGCCATCATTGCTCAGTAGCACCTATGTTTGGTGGAGAGGAGGCTTATCTTGGCTTAGCTGCCTCACCCCACTGCCCTCATTACCCCCAGGCATATATCAGTGTCCTTGCATCTGACTATGCAGACCAGCCTGATGTAGAAGCCAGGCTGGGCATCTTGGCTTCCTGCTCCTTTTCTTTCATATGACACAGATAAGTCTCTGGATATTGCAGTTGGGCCAGACCTGCAGAAAAAGAGAACATTCGGTTGAACAGAAGAACATATCCTGGAGAAAATGGCAAGAGGGTGAAGACAACAGCTGGTTCAAGGGAAAATGCCACCTGAGCACAGAGAGAAAAATGCTCACTGAGAGCTCCACAAATAAAGAAAAACCTTACATAAAGTGGTGAGAAGCACAGGAGAGGACAGGGCCAGGGCTGGGAGGCTGAGGTTCCAGGACCGGTTCTGCATTTGCTGCTGTGTGAAATTGGGCCAGTGACTTCCCATCTCTGGGCTTCAGTTTTCTCAATTAAAATCTGTTCTCCTACTTTCTCTATAACATTCATTTATTGATTCCTTGATTCAAGCATATTTCTCAAGCACCCAATTTGTGCCAGGTACAGCTGTCAGTGCTGGTGATCAGGCAATGAATAAAGTGGACCAAAGCACACCCTTATGTGAGCCCTCATGCGCACAGCAAACACAACCAGTGAGATAAGTTGCAGGTTCATTTGCAATAAGGAGAAAACAGAAAGCAGAGAAGGGGTCAGGCAGCCTAATCCGATAGGGTGACCTCCGAGTCAAGACATAAGGAGGTGAGGGAGTGAGCCAGGGGGACATCTGGGCAAAGCCTGCCGCAGGCAGATGGGACAGCCAGTGTGAGAGCTGCCCTGAATGCAAAGCCTGCCCACTGCCCCTTCTTTTGGTGTCTCCACTGGCCTGCTGGCTGCAGCAGCCTTCTATCAGACCTCCCAGCCTCCATCTCCTCCTCTGGAGTCTTCTAGCCCCACATGGCCGGCCGGGGTGACTCTAAAATATAAGTCAGACCCCATCACGTCCCTGCTCAAAACCCGCCAGGTGCTCCCACCACATTCAATGCAGTGCAAGTCCTCACCATGGTCCTCTAGCATCTCTCCAAGCCCATCTTCCTTCTCTCTCCCTCACTTGCTCCTTCTCAGCTACACTGGCCTCTGCTGTACCTGGGACATGCCAAGCAAGCCCTGGCCTTGGGGCCTTTGCTCACGGCCTCTGCCTGGATGTTCTTCCCCCAGTTATCCACAGGTCTGGCTTCCTGACTTCATTCCGACACCACCCTCTCAAGAGGACACCCTTGACTGTCTTGTCTAAGCAAGACCCTGTCACATCCAACCACTCACCTGGCTTTATTTTTCCTTACAGCATTTATCACGACCTCCCATCATTTTATATATTTATAATAGTAGATATAATCAATGGATCAGATGTTTATTATGTGATGGACACTGTTCTAAACGTCCTAGAATCAATTCATCTTCTCCCAAACTCCTTGAGAATTGTATTGTTATTGACCACATTTTATAGATCAATAACCAAAGATAGAGACAGGTTAAGAAATTTGCTGAAGTTTGCCCATCTGGTGAGTGTCAGATCAGGATTCAAACCCTGGAGCTTCCATTATGAGCCACGACACTCTAGACCAGGGCTGCCCAGTAGAACTTTGCAATGACAAACATGTTCTGTGTCTGCACTGCCCGAAGTGACTGCCACTGGCCACATATAACTGTTGAGCACTTGAAATGTGTGTGACCAAGGAACTGAATTTTGAATTTTATTGCATTTCCGTGACTTTAGATTTAAATAGCCAGGCTAGTGGCTACCAAATTGTACATAAGAGCCTTAGCACCTCTTATTTGCTCCTTTGTTAATTTCTGTCTGCCACATAAGGATGAAACTGGCCTGTGCATTCGTTTCCTCATTTTACAGTAAGGGAAACACCCCTGACACAAAGTGAATACTCAATACTTATTAATCACTGTCATCATCACCATTATTATAATATTATCATTATTAGTCTCCATGAGACTGATGACTTTGTTTGTTCACTCCTGAATCCCATTACATTCTTTAGCACATAGTAGGTGTTCAATAAATATATTATGAATGAACGAATAAGTGAAATGAGTTAAATGTGGCACTTGGGTAAGGATAAACTCTTACAAACTCAAACCCTCTCTCAAGGGCTTGGGGAGAACTGTAGCTCAGTGAAGTGGGGTGATACAAGATTGAGGGTATGGTGAACAGAAGAGAAGATGTCCCAGCTAAATGCTTTCAAGGTGATTTTTGGGGAGTGGGAACAGCAAGGAGCACTGTGGTCCAAACGGAACGCCCCTAGCTAGAAGACACCCAGGGGCTGCCACTTTGGAGCTAAGTCCCTTTAAAGGCCTTTGTCCCTCCACAATGACAAGTATCTGGTTCCATTTGCCAGAGATTCAACTCTAGACATGCCGCAGTCTTGATGAGCATCCTGTGTGTGTAAAGCAATCCAGGCGCCAAGGCCCAGAACACCGGTGACACAGGTAGTGCTCAATGAAGGCGTACTTGTTCTTGTCCTACTCAGTGCAGAGCTTCCTGGGGAAACTGAGCAATGCTTCAGAAATTACATGTACCAAAATAATAATAATAATAATAATAAAGAAAAAGGAAAAGAAAAGAAAAAGAAATGCAACTGGCTTGCGAAACAGGAGCATCCATCTGGGAAGCAGGCCATGGAGTTGACGGCAATGGCAGGTAAAGGGCCCGGCACCATTCACGCCCATGTCTGGAAGGGAGTTACGCTTGGACAGGGTTTAGGTCAACAGGAAGCACCTACAGCTGGCCTTCTTGAGCTTACTCTGGGGCATTCCTTTGTTTCTTGAATAGAACAGCAGGCAAAACAGCCCTCACTACTTAAGCTCCTATTTCGTTCTCCCTCTAGCCACGTGCAGTTGTGTTTATGTAAGTTTTACGTGCTTATGATGTGAACTCTGTTGGCAGGAACTTACCAATATTACTTCACCTCCATTTGCCTTCCCTCGATGGCTGGAGAGCCGTGTGAGTGCTGTTCTAGGACTCAGCCTGTCCAGTATGAGTCACAGCTATGTGATCTTGCCACTGACTAGGTCATACAGGCCGGGGTGCTGATTTTCAGGTCCTTCCACCTTAAAAATAGTACCTGTCATTCAGTGATTCTCAGTCACAAGAGACTCTCAGAGGCTCTACAGCCAACAAATGTGGTTGGTTTGTCCTTTTTTTTTTTTTTTTAAGATAGTTGATGTATTCATTTTCTATTGCTACTGTAATAAATTACCACAAATTTAGTAACTTTAAAACAACACTAATTTATTACCTCACAGTTCCAGAGGTCAAAAATCTGCAACAGTTCTCACTGGGCTAAAATCAAAAGCCGTGTTCCTTTCTGAAGTTTCCAGGAAAGAATCCCTTTCCTCGCTTTCCCTAGTTCTAGAAGCCGCTCACGTTCCTTGGCTTATGGCTCCATGCCTTCATCTTCAACATCAGCAATGTTGCATCTCTGTGCCTGGCTTCCATAGTCACATCTCCCTCTGATGCCTCCTTCTCCCACCTCTTCTCTTCCACTTTTAAGGGTCCTTGTGATTACACTGCACCCACCCAGATATTCTAGGCTTGTCTCCCTGTTTTAAGGCCAGCTGATTAGCAACCTCAAATCCATCCGCAACCTTCATTCCTCTTTTCCATGTAACTTAACGTATTCAGATTCCAGAGTGAAGATGTGTACATCTTTGGGGGTCATTATTCTGCCTACCACAGTTGCCCACATTTTTCTTTTTGATTTTTTTAAACATAATATCTAGCTTTCTACCTTTTCTTAAACAAAAATCTGGCAACACAGGACCCACATTCTTGCCTAGTGTGCCCCATTACAGTATGTGCCATTACAGTATGGCAACGATGCACTTGGATTGAGGGGCTCCGTTTGGCTCAGGCCCCGCCCTGCCTTACTGCATCCCCACACGATGCCCGGAGTAGGTTGCATCAGGCGGTCAGTTATCCTATCAGACGCGCTTCATTCATTTGCATTTACCCCTGGCCTTATCACCCTTTGAGCCTGCAGCACCTCCTTGAAATTATTAGGATAACCCAACTCTACACTTTTGCTATCTGTTTACATCGGAAATAGTACAGAGTACTGCATGCCACTGGTGCACACCCACGTGTGATACAGGAGAGGGGAGCTCAGGGTTATCTCTAACTCAGGCATGTACAGCAGTGGAGAACCGACTGTCACTCAGGGCCGGTCCCTGGGGAGGCATGAATGAGTCAGATATGTTTATATTAGTGAAAACTGCCAGTAAGGACACCATCTATAGTGTGCCAGGGGCTGTGATCCATGCTTCTAATTCTATTTCACTGAATCCTCACAGCCACTCAATGAGATTCATGCTATTGTTTAGCTTTTCCCATACCCCCATGGCAACTGTGGCACAGAGAAGTTAAGTAAGTTGCACCAGGTCACACAGCTGGAGTGTAAGAGAGTTGGGATTCAAACATGTTATTCTGATTCCAGAGTCTGCGCTTTGGCTCCTGTCGGTTCTGTCTCTAGAAGGAAAAAAATATCTGTGGTTTGAAACTTTTGAGGGGTTGGACTTGGGAAGAAAAGCTAGACCCAGAGGATCGTTCTGCCAAATCTCCAGAATGGACTTGAGTCCCTCTGAGAATCCAGGTTCACACAGGAAGCCTCCAGAACAGGAACAAAGGCCCTCCATAAGGGGACGCTGCAGTTTTGTGAAATTCTGGCCTTGAGTTGTTTAGGACAGACTTCCTAAATCACAAGCCTGACTGTCAGGAACACAAGACCCTGGTAAGATGGCCTAAAATCTACGTTAGATAGCAAAGAACAATGGCAGGGCTGAGGGGGATGAAACAGGGGAAGTCTGTTGGTAAGAATCTGCCGCTTCTGTTGGCAAGTCACACATGAAATTTAGAGCTATGAGCCTATGGAGCCTCCTTGGCTTAAAGACAAAGTGGACCTTCCAGTTCCAGTAAGGGCAGGATAAGCCAATGCTCTGAAGAGGCCTCATGAAACAGCTGGGAATGAATAGGGGCTGGGCTCAGGGAACATAAGCTATTGGCACGTGTTCAAACTATCCCCACCTGAGTTACGTTTGGGGTTTCTGCCTGTGATAAAAAGTATTCCAATTTTCTGCTAAATGCAAATAGAGTCACTATTTGTCGCAACAAGTAAGGAGTAGGAAATTCTGCTTTAGTGGAGCAGATGAAACTCTGCAGGAGGAAAAGAGACCAAGGCATCAGTATAATGGGGTGAGAACTCTGTGACTGGGGATCCCATATGTTTCCATTGCCAGGGGCAGCCCCAAAGTCTGCCTGCCATCCCAACATATCACAAGCAGCATCCCTTCCACTTCCAAAAACACCCTAGTTTGGCAGATCACATGTGCCATCACCCTCTGATATTCCATGAAAGCTTTTCAGAATAAATTCTTGATATCAGATTATTTTTATTTTATTTGTTTTATTTTTTTGAGACGGAGTCTTGCTCTGTTGCCCAGGCTGGAGTGCAGTGGTGCAATCACAGCTCACCACAACCTCCGCCTCCCAGGTTCAAGCGATTCTCCTGCCTCAGCCTCCCGAGTAGCTGGGACTACAGGCATGTGCCACCACATCCAGCTAACTTTTGTATGCCCCATCTCTACTAAAAATACAAAAAAGATAATTTGTTTCTTTTGCTTGGGTCTTCAAAGAGAGGTGAACTGAAAATTAGTCTGCCACTGAGAGGAGCATGGACTAAAAGGAAGCTCTAGAAATTGTCTGGGGGATGGAAATGAACTTGTAGCATCTCCATGTCAGATATGTCAGACACAGGACAGACATGTAACACGAGCAACTTCGTGTGTCAGCAAAAGCATGTGAAGTGGGATGCTAAGTTTTATCAATCCATTTTAAAGATGAGGAAACTTTAAAAGGGGCTCAAGGTTGGACACTCAGCTGATGGCATTGCTTGAGTAGAATACAAGCCTAGGACCTCCTCATCTGCCAGTCCTTGACTCTTCCTTACTCCAGCTTACCTCCTTTTCCCCCTTGAGACTGTTTAGACAAATTAAAGAATGGTCTATGTATGTGGAAGAGTTGGGGTTTTGGTTGCAAGCAACAGAACCTAACTCTGTGCAACCTGAGCAACAAAGTTACTTGTTGGAAGGATATAGAGGCATTCGCATACTCAAAAGGACAGTTCTAAGAGCAGGCTTGGAACGCGGAGGAGCCAGGCAGCTCCAGGTTCATAGCAGGAGAATTCAGGCTTCCCTGAGGCCCCAGGCTGGAATGAATGGAAGCTTGTGGTCATTTTCCTCCCTTATTTTACTCTTTTCCTCCACCACCTCCACCTCCCACCTGTAACTCAGCCTGACCCAGCCAAGCTCTGCAGCCCTTAGCAGGTGTCTTTCTACATGCAGGATACAACTGATATACAAAACTCATAGAGCGTTAGAATGCTAGGCTTAATTATTTTTAATTAGAGGAAAATGTATGCAAACCAAGGATCATCATTTTAGAAGAACTCAAAAGCAAAATATCCTGTCTTTCCTAATAAATATGGTTGAAAAGACCTGCTCTAAAATATCGATAATTCATTTCGTAACATTTCTATCCTTGAAAAGTGTATCTTTTGGTGGAAAATCTTAATGTCAGACAGATCTGGTTTCAAAGCTCACATTTTACCTCTGATGAACTGTGAGGCCTTGAAAAAGCATTTGGTCTCCCCAAGCCTTTCTTTTCAATCTATAAAGTGTAGGTACGACTCTACCCCCACTTCACAAACAGCAGCTACGAGGGCTATGTGACGTCATACACACATGGACCTACGCTCTCTTTTTGCCAAGCCCTTGAAGCCTTGTGGAAGGGTTGGTAGACAAATTACATGCAATCAGAATGCGCCCACTTCTCAAACCTACTCTGAACCTCTCATCTATGCTGTTCTCATTTGCTGCAAGCCACTTCATCTTAGGGACGTGCTTGCATTTTCTGGACCCACAGCTCTTCCTTGTGGAGAAGGAACTGAAGTCGGTCACAGGTGGCTTTGCTGACTGGAGATAAATTTCATTTGCTTTATTTTCTGGCACCCCTTCCCACCCCCCAGAAACCTTGCCTTCTTCCAGCTCGCCAAGGAAGAAGACAAGGATTTTTCTATTAAGTTGAGAAGCCTGTTACCCCCTGTCCGGCCCCCAGCCCCCACTCCACCCCCTTTGCTGGCACTTGGGGAGTTTCCCTTCACAGCAAAGCTCTCTGGGTTCAGGCTGCCAAAATCAAAAATAGGGCAGCCAGGGAGGGGAGGTTTGACAGGAAGTCCAAATAAGTACTTCCTCCTACCCACCTTTGAACTTCTGAGGCACCTCAACTAAAATAGCCGAGCAAGAGACACAGAGAAAGGGGATGAAAGAGTTTTTTTTTAAAGAATGAAATTGTCAACTGGAAGGAAGTGGAAAATATTGCTTTTCGTTGCCTTGCACAGGACGGCGGGCTCATGTTTTCCCCGTGCCATCTCCCAGGGTGGGGGAGGTCAGAGCTGTGTCCAGGCTTGGGGGCAGGGAGCTCAGTGACTGTCCAGGTAGAGCGGAGTGTGGCCTGCAGGAGGGCTCCTATGGGGTTGCTGCGCGGCCCCCTCCCCAGCCTCCCGCCCACGTGCTGTGAGCGCTGGCGCTCTGCATGGAGGATGCCTTGCATGGGAGGCAGGTCTTCCCCTGCCTGCACACTCTTTCTAAGGCCGACTTGCCGAGTTCTGTGCCTTCCTGTATGGCTGCTGGAGTGTCCAGCAGAGCAGTCAGGACCCCTTCCTGGCTCTGCTTGCTCCACCGGACTCTCCCACGTAGTGGAGCCCTTTGCCATCCACAAGGATCCCAGGCATGGAGGGTGCTCCCACTGCCTGCCTTAAGGATGGAGGGAAAACTGCCCCCTCTCCCTGTGAGGATGACAACTGCAGCCTTTGCTCCCATGCAGGCCCTCCAGAAAGTTCCAACGGCAAGGCACTTCAGCCTCTGGTGATAAATCTGAGATGTTAAAAAGTTGGTGGGAATGAGGCTGGGTGGACACGGGCGAGGGCATCCTCCGATTGCCTGCGGTGTCTGTCCCACGTCAGCATCCTCTCTGGGCCACATGCCACCACCTTATT